TTTTTTGAGATGGAGTCTCACTTTGTCGCCAGGCTGGAGTGCAGTGGCACGCTCTTGGCTCACTGCAACTTCCGCCTCCCAGGTTCAAGAGATTCTCCTGCCTCAGCCTCCCAAGTAGCTGGAATGACAGGTGCCCGCCACCATGCCCAGCTAATTTTTCTATTTTTAGTAGAGATGGGGTTTCACCGTGTTGGCCAGGCTGGTTGCAAACTCCTGACCTCAAGTGATCCACCTGCCTCAGCCTCCCAAAGTGCTGGGATTACAGGTGTGAGCCACTGCACAGTCCCTGTTTCCTGTATAACTGTTTCAGCGGCATTAGCACATTCATGAGGTTGTGCAGCCATCGCCGCTATCTAGTTCCAGGGCATCTTCCTCACCACACAGGGAAGCCTGGCACCAATTAGTGGTCACTCCCCATCCCCCTGTCCCCAGCTCTGTGCAATTATTAATCGGCTTTCTGTGTCTATGGATTTGACTATTGTGATATTTCATATTAGTGAAATCATACGCTACACGAGCTTTGTGGCTGGCCTTTTCCACTGAACGTAATGTCTTCAAGGTTTGTGCACGTCGTGGCTTGTATCTCAGCCCTTCTCCCTTTTCATGGTTGAGTAATATTCCACTGCATGGGTAAGCCAAAGTCGGTTTGTCCATTCCTCCACTGCTGTGTGCTTGCATTGTCTTCAGTGTTTGGCTGTTGTGCAAGGTGCTGCTATGAACATTCAAAGTTAAGTTTTGTGTGGACACATGTTTTGAACTCCTTGGGGTAGGCTCTGTGGAGTGGAAGTGCATGGTAATTCTGGTTAACTTTTTAAGGAACTGCCAAACTCTCTTCCACAGTGTGGGCCAAGCCACTTCTAAGACTCCCATTAAACACCCAAGTGGAAGTGTCCAGGGGGCAGTGAGGTATTCTAGCACAGAGTCAGGGGAGGGTCCAAGCTGGAGCTGAAAAGGAAGGTTGAGGACCCACAAGGAAGGAGATGGAGCTAACTGGGGCTCCAGGAGGCTCACCTTCCAACCCCTGCCCATCCCCACCACCAGCAATGTTGTTGACAGTGGTGGGGTCTCTAGACACACAGGCGATGGGAAGAGACATATAAAAGAAAATAGCACCAACTGATATTTATTGACTAATCCCATCCACCCCCATCCCTTTATGCTGCTCTCATTTTTCATGGCTTCATCATTCCTTCATATTTCTTCACAATGGGCGTCATCATCCCTCCAGGTCCCATTCATTGTGTCCATCAGCTGACTGTATCCCCTTACTAGCCCGTAAACCCCGTAGAGGCAAGAACCCTGTGGGCTTATTCACTGCTGCATCCTCAGGCCAGGGAGGCTGCTCAGGAGACATTTATTGAATGAAGGTTTGCAGAACAAATGCACGTCCACACACCATGCAGGCTCCTGGGAAGCTCCATGGCAGCCTCTTGGCTGCACTCTCAGGGCAGGGCTGTTAAGATCAGGGTCTTAGGCCGGGCGCGGTGGCTCACGCCTGTAATCCCAGCACTTTGGGAGGCCGAGGCGGGTGGATCACGAGGTCAAGAGATCGAGACCATCCTGGTCAACACGGTGAAACCCCGTCTCTACTAA